TTTCGGGGGGGGGTGGGGGGTGGGGGGGGTTTCATTTTGTTTTCTCTTCCAGAAAAATAAGAACTCAGAGGACAGTGTCAATTAATTGCATATGGTATAACAGGGACACCATTCTCTTATTTTCTGCTTCCATCATATTATCCTGTAGCACTCAGACTCTTGAATATCTCCTCGGATAGACTAAGACTGATTTTGAGAAATAATTGAAATGTCAGTTTTCATTAGAAATGAAAAATGGAATTAGTATTCAATTGTAAATGTACTTTTCTATGACTTAAATACTCTACAATGAATAAAAGCACCAAAAAAAAAAAAAAGAAAAGGGATCAATTAATAATGTTTACAAATTATTAAGGAAAATATATTTAAGGAGATATGTAGGGATAATTCCACATTTAAATATGGACCTATTTTATGAATAAACTACATTTTTCCCCCTCACAAATTTCAGAAAAACCCCCCGAAAGCTTGCTGCCTCTTCTCCTAGAGCTCTGCTCTGGGAATAACTTGGCTTATTACTGAAGAAGGTTATGTTTCATTAGTGGAGCCAAGGGTGATAAAGGTGGAATCTTATTTTGTGTGTGATTGTCTGTTTCTTTGGCTGGGTGGTACCCAGTGATTTCCCCCCTGCAGTTGGATTTTTCAGGGGGTCTTTGGCCTCTTTCACCATCTCATAAAAAGGCTCTTACCATTTAAAGAGGCCACATCTCCCCAATCCATTTGCTTATACCTTTTCCATTTCCTTGCCTGGCTTTTTCAGGAGATAAGGTTTGAATGGTAAACATTATCTTAATTACAAGTCTGAATTTCTAAAGCACTTCAATTTAAAAATAAAAGAATATGTAAGAGACAGATTGATTTATAAACGACTCTTAAAAGCAGATCCCACGACACCCTCTGGCATATCCAGATTACTTGCTTTCATGTGTGAATTTTAATTTTCATGGTTGCTTACAATGCCTGGATTATATGTTCCTAATACATTTTTAGCAATATGTTCTTGATAAAGCTAATATTGATATTGTTGAATTTCTAGAGAAGGGAATGGATTGCTTTTCATTATCTGAAAAAAACAAAAGATTGCTGACTTTTTGGAGATTGATTGCAAGTGGAATGGCTTTTGTTTTCTAAAGCTGTTGGTATAAGAAAGATCATCCACGCATTTCTCCGATAACATTTGGAGAAAATATCTGATAGTTTTTCACAACCAAGAATTAGTGCAGGCGGGAAAAAAATTATTATTTTTTAATATTTTTATTGATTTTAAGAGAGCAAGGGAGAGGGAGAGAGAGACAGAAACATCAATGATGAGAGAGAATCATCAATGAGCTTCCTCCTGCACAGCCCTTAGTGGGGATAGAGCCTGCAACCCCGGCATGTGCCCTTGATTGGACTCGAATCTGGGACCCTTCAGTCCTCAGGCCGACTCTATCCATTGAGCCAAACTGGCCAGGGCAATTTTTTTTTTCTTTTTAAAGAAAAAGGGTAAAACAGTAAGCTTAGTTGCCAAGAACTCAAATGAAGCATTCTCTGGCCTGGTGTTTGTATTTGGCACAGATTTATCAAAATGTTATTTTTCTTGTGGTTAATGTTATCATTATCGTCTATTTAAAAAGTCTTTTAATAGACACAATGCTTTGTCTCTGTTGTGCTCTGTGATTATACAGTGTGTGGTCTACAGTATTAGGTGGGAAACAAAATAACTAGATTTTGCTTTGCAGGGTATGTCAGACTGGGTTAAACTGGTTCTATAATAATAATAATAATTACCATTAAGCCTATTTTTTCTTTAATTTTCTTTTGGGTTATGAACACTTTTTTTTTTCACCTCCTGTGCATTAAACACCTATTATTTGCCAGCCCTGTGCTAAGCCTTTAGACATAACATCTTATTATATTCTCATCATTACCAGTGAGGCTGGTGCTATGATGCTTCCTGTCTTATTACACATAAGGAAACTGAAGTTGTAGAGAGACCAAGGAATTGGTTAGAATCACATGGCCAGTAATGTTTCTGAGCTGGAAACTGAAGCCAGGTCTGCATCTTTCCAAAGGGCCTACCTTCCCCGCTCCCTCTCCCACCTCTTACCCTGCCTTCCCCTTCAATCTCAGATATCACAAGGATGAAACTAGCACCACCAGGCTTTCCCTGTAGGAGCCCATTGATACCTCAAAACAACTCCATTTCAGATGCAGAAACTTTGACTCAGTTAAGTGGTTTGCTGAAAAACATAGCTGGTGATAACAGGTTCAAATCTAGGGTTTTTTTTGACAAGGGCTCTAGGCACTAAACCAACCAGTGCATCCAAGGATTACCTGGGTCAGCACAACAAAAACAAAAGCAAAATTTGAGAATGATAGAGGGCTGTCAGATAATAACATTAAAAAAAACAAACAAGTAATAACATTTTAAAATAAATGAGCCTATCTCAGACACTTTCACAAAAGGACTTTGGTTATGTTTTTTAGAAAGGACTTTTTTTTTTTTTAGAAAGGACATTTCAATGAGAGAAAACAGGAAGGCATAATTTCAGTTGGAGAGTTGATTAAAATGAATAAATTCAACTTTATGAAAAACTTTATATTGTCTCATTTTCTTTCTCTCATGTTGCCACAGACTGTTGATCACTTGGTTGCAGACCAGTGTTTGGTAACCATTCTCCTACACCATGCTTTCTCACAAATCCAACAACCTAGCAACTGTTAGAGAAGTATCGCCCAGTGTGTTGTCAAGAGTGTTGATTCTGTGATCTTTGGAGAGTCTACTGATTTATTTTGTATGGTGAGCTTCATTCTTGTTCATGTGTTGGTCTTATTTTGGGTCAGGGCAGGCAACCTGAGGAGATGAAAAGGCAATTGATGATGATGGCTCTTGGTCATCTCCTTTCCTTTTCTCCTCTTTACTTGCTGATCTAGCTGCCCTAGTATTCTTTGATGTTTGAATTATTTCATTTTCTCCTTATTTCCAATTTCCTTGCCTAAGCATTCATCAAGAGACATTTGGGACGCTGGGTAGAAGGAATTTTAGAACCAACAGTCTTTGGATTAAGTTGGGTGAAAGAGAAAAGAGGCTTATCATTTCTGGGTGTGGGCAGTGTCTACCACAGAGCCTTCCTTATACATTGTAGGTACTCAACAGTTACTTGTTGGACCAGTGAGTCTTATTTGTAACCTAATCTGTTAATATTACCTTCTAAGATTTTATATTACTTTGTGTGCATGTGAAAAGCTCAAAATTTGTTAGTTGAAATGTGGTATTAATATTTCTGTATCTCTAAGGAGTAGAGTATCTTGGATTATATAAGCCTCTTCCTCTGGCTTTAGGCCAGCTTTGCTATCAAACCAATGATACCTCAGCCTGTGTGGTGATGAGCTGAGGAAAGAGATTAAGAAATATTTTTGTTGTTGTTGTTGTTAATCCTCACCTGAAGATATTTTTCCATTGATTTTTAGAGAGAGTGGAAAGGAGAGGGAGAGAGAGAAACCTCAATGTGAGAGAGACACATTGATTGGTTGCCCGCCACACGTACCCCTATCAGGTCCGGAGTTGAGCCTGCAACTGAGGTACATGCCCTTGACTGCACCCCCATCAGGGCCGGAGTTGAGCCTGCAACTGAGGTACATGCCCTTGACTGGACTTGAACCCGTGAACCTTCAGTCCACAGGCTGACACTCTATCCACTGAACGAAACCAGCTAGGGCAAGAAATACTTTCCAAAGGTGGAAATTTATTGAAGAATAAGTACAGACTCTCACATAGGGAGGGGGGAAAAAGGGTCCCACAGAACTGACTCCCATGTAGGGAGGGAGAAGAGTCCCAGAAATACTTTTTTTTAAGTACCGTATCCAAATTTGTGAAGATTGGGATTTGAGCTTTAAACTCCATGTAATAACAATAGTGTGGTTTCTGATCTAAAGAAACCCCCATGCTTACCTTATTCAAAGAAATTCATCAACTTCATCAATTGTCACAGTAAATAAAGTAGCTTTATTGTGAATCTAGAATTTAAAGAATGTTTCAGTGATTTTTCTGTTTACTATATCTTTTGCAGTAAAAATTCCAGTTTCCTAATTTTAATTAATAATTGGTAGTAAATGTTCTGTTTCAAATGGGAGAATGCATTGGAAAAAGACTCACCCACAATGTTTTTTTGTTATTTCAGACCACACTTGGTGCGAGTAAGCCCAACCATGGTGCAGCCAGATTCTTCTCAAAAGTGAGACCTTCCGAAGGACCAATGACTCTGTTCCCCGTGTCCTTTCATTTTCTCCTCCTACTCCATCACTATGTCTCGATCTCGCCACGCCAAGCCTTCCAGATTAGGCAGGAGGGAAGATGTAAACAAAAAGAAAAACAGTCAACTGAAGAAGACCTTCAGGCCAGTCAACAGAAACGTGACATCAGGCAAGACCATGAGCCCTGGACAATTAAAGCAATTCATTCAAGAAAGGGAGGTTAAGAAAAAAACAGAACCCAAACCACCACCCATGCCAGTCAGAAGCCTGCTGACAAGAGCCAGCGCAGCACGAATGAAGTTGGAGAGGACTGAGGCTCTTTTTCGGAACCCGGAGTCCTTAACTTGCAATGGCTTTACAATGACTCTCCGAAGAACCTCCCTTAGCAGGCGACTCTCCCAACCCCCACTGGTCATAGCCAAACCCAAGAAAGTCTCACCTCCTAAGAATTTAGAAAAGCAACATAAGTGTGATCATAAGGTGACGCCCTCAGAGAATGATTCTGTACCAACACAAGACCCCCTAATCCCTCCTGATACAGAGAATCTAATGGACATACAAAATGCATCTTTAGTTCCCGATGAGAGCCAAGGGACAGCCCAGTCTTGGTGCCAAAGGGTCGAGGATTCCAAAATAAATTTTCCCACTCACAGTGGCCCTGCAGCAGGCATCCTTTCTGGGGCACTGGAAGGGACACATGGTGGTGAAGGACTGTTCTCTAAAGAGACCTTGGATGACATCAGTGATTCCCCAAGGATGTTTGCTCAGGACACTCTGGGTGCTCCTTTGCCCCTTCGAGCAGACCTTCATGTTACCTCGGAAGGAAACAGCAGCATTCAGGTAGAAGATTTGGGTTCACAAGTAGAATCTCTTAAGCTATCTGATTCTTACCCGAATCCCATCCAAAGTGAACATGATTGCTGCCCCACCTCCAGCTTTAATAAGGTTATACCTGAATTGGACCTTAGAAACTATTTGTCAATTGATGGGTCAGTGTATTCTACCTCATTATTAAAGCTCTTCTTGGCAGGTTCAGAACAAGGAGCCCTTGGTGCTGAACCAGATCATCTGGAGGCCCTCAAGGCTACTCCAGATCAGCAGGAAGTTCCTGATAACACCCCTGTCTTAGGACAGGCCTTTAGTGCAGTCCCACATCAATGGGAAATTCCTGGTGCTAATCTGGTTCATGGAGAGGCTCTGGGTGAGACCCCAGGCCCACCAGAGATCACTGGTGCTATTTCAGTCCAAGGAGATGTCTTTGGTGCCATCCTCAATCAGGAAATCCTTGGTCCATACCAGATGGGAGCCAGTACTGCCTCAGACCCATCTGTCTTTCTTCCTGCTCCTCTAAACCCAGTTGCTACCTATAACGCTCTCCCAGAATGGCCTGATCCCCAGAGCACGGTTTCATACGGGCTTGAGGTCCAAGGTTCTATGCAGATTTTACCTTTGGGCTCAGGTCACGGTCCTCAACCATCCTCCAACTCAGAGGTAAATTCCGAACCTCCAGTCATGGCTATAAACAATGTGGACAATGAGAAGCAAGTCCATCTAAGCTTTCCACCAGCTGACACTCAGGGGTTTGCATTAGCCCCTGAGGAAGGACTCCACCATGCTTCACAGAGCCTTGCCCAAGACGCCCAGGCTGGTCCCAGCAAATCGGAAGGAGGGAGCTCCCAGGTGGACACCACAGTGGTGTCTACGCCAGTGTCACTTGCCAGTACCTCCTCTTCTCCTTCCCACACAACTGTGCTACCTACTTTGGAAAAGAAGAAACGGAAGCGATGTGGGGTCTGTGGGCCCTGCCAGCAGAAGGCCAACTGTGGTGAATGTACTTACTGCAAAAACAGAAAGAACAGCCACCAGATCTGTAAGAAGAGGAAATGTGAGGAATTGAAAAAAAAGCTACCCGGCCTTGTGCCTAAGGTGAGTAAATAGCCAAGGGCCTGGGAGACGCCTGGGAGACTTGATAGAGGGATCTGTGTGGGGGTAGCTCAGTATCGGACCTTTTCCTGGGGTGTAAAATGTTGCTTTAAGTTATCGATTAGAAACGACCTACCTGCAGTACGTCTTGTGCACGGACACATGAGCTTATTTTTAGGATTTGTCTCAGAAAACCAGAACGTACAGTTTTTTCATTGTAGAGTTGGATAGAGACACAGGGAAATGGTATGAAATGTGATTTTGCAAACATTTCCACTGTGTCTCATTTGGCTAAGTGTGTCTTTTTTGGAAGTTACAGGTTTAAAAGTTAAGAGTGGAGCAAATTCATTAACTTTGTAGCCTGAGAAACCAGAGGAATTAAACTTCCTTTTTTTTTTTTTTTTTTTAATCCCACTGTGCCTCGTTTGGCTAAGTGTGTGTCTTTTTTGGAAGTTACAGGTTTAAAAATTAAGAGTGGAACAAATTCATTAACTTCTTTGTAGCCTGAGAAACCAGAAGAATTAAACTTCCTTTTTTTTTTTATGATCCCCCTTCTAAAAAATATATGATTTTAGCCCTGGCTGGTTTGGCTCAGTGGATAGAGCGTTGGCCCGAGGACTGAAGGGTCCTGGGTTGCGGGCTTGATCCCCCGTGGGGAGTGTGCAGGAGGCAGCCGATCAATGATTCTCCCATGACCGGGTTGCGGGCTTGATCCCCGGTCGGGAGTGTGCAGGAGGCAGCCGATCAATGATTCCCTCTCTCATCATTGATGTTTCTATCTCTCTCCCTTCCCTTCAATAAAAATATGTTAAAAATAAAAAATATTTGATTTTACACAGAGAGGAGGGGCAGAGAGAGGGAAAGAGGGAAGGAGAGAGAGAGAGAGAGAGAGAGAGAGAGAGAGAGAGAGACATGACTTTGTTGTTCTGCTCATTTATGCATTCATTGCCTCTTGTATGTGCCCTGACCAGGGAATCAAACCCATAACCTTGGCACACTGGATGACTGAACTACCCAGCCAGGGCTCGAATTACACTTCTTTTGAAACAATAAACTGTTTGCATTCTTGATCTTGAAACTTTGCCTTACAGGTATAACACAATATAGCTTTCCTCTCAATTTTGACAGGTGATTTCTACCTACTCTACGTATCTCACAGGGTTGTGGGATTAGATCAGTGGTTCTCAACCTTCCTAATGCCACGACCCTGTATTTTATTTTATATTTGAAAAATATATTTTATTGGTTTTTTACAGAGAGGAAGGGAGAGGGATAGAGAGTTAGAAACATCGATGAGAGAGA